GACAATCGAGTATCCATCCCTCTTTCAAAAATCCAAAAGTATGGTCTTGTAAAGTTTGAGCTTAAAACCTACCTATCTAGAGCCAAGATACAACACCTGGGCAAAATATTCCTGGCCTATCTCCCCGACCTCGATCATTTGCTTGATCACACCCGTCACACTTTTACACTCTGCCGTGTTATGGGTGTTTGTTGTTGGAATGCATGAGTTCAACCCTTTCTGTGTTGTTAAGTGTTGACTCACAGGTTTTGATAATTGACAAACACAATTTATTCAAGTCAAGATCAAAGAGCTACAATGACAAACACGAAAACTTGAAGTACCATTCATTGAAGTATTCAAGAAGGTGCACATCATTTTATTGGAGTCCGAGACGCGTTCGGAGCGCCTAACGGAGGACTAGGAGGAGTAGAAGATTTCCGAAGACTTTTTATTAATTTGAGTCGTATGAATATTTGTAAGGATGACAAAAATATCTTCTCTCCAAAATCATTTTTATGAGAGTTAAAATAAAAATTATATTTATTTTTGGAGTTAGTTGAAAAATCCTTTTAACTGTTCAAAATAGGTTTATTGAGTCAGTCACAAAAAGTGTGCCAAACATTTATCAAATATTTATTTTGATAATATAAAATATTTTTGGTAAGCAAAAATATTTTATTCAAATATTTTTCGTGTACATCGTTTCACACACAAAATATTTTTGGGACTTAATTTCTACACCAAAATTCTTTATTTAATTCAAATTTTGAATTTGAATTCTTTTCAACCCATTTGATTTGTTTGTTTTTGGGAGCCTTATCACATTCAAATTCTTGTCCAAAACAAGTCATTAAGCTCCAAAATAATCTCACAACTCGCACACATGTTTTGGGTCCTCGCGTTTGGGGTTTGTTCGCTACTGGATCGATCCTTTTGTGTGGATCGATCGTCATGTGAGAACCCAGGGGGATTGGATCGATCTCCACATTAGATCGATCACATATTTTGGGACTTTTTCTTCGGAGGATCGATCAATCTGTTTGGATCGATCCACCGTCACTTATTTCTTTTGTTTCCCAAATTTTTTAACTCCTTTGGATCGATCCTTTGCCTTGGATCGATCCCCCGTGCTTTTGACACAAATTTATTTTCAGAAGTTTACTCCAGGTGATCGATCTTTTGCCCTGCATCGATCCCCAACGCTCCATTCTGTCAAAATCAGTCTTCCCTACTCCCAACGGATTTATTTCTTTTTACTCTATATAAACTCTCTTCCTTGGTCTTTTTTAAGAACAAGAAACATTCCAATACTCCCCATTCTGAGGTGTTAATCCTCCATCAATCTTTCCTCAAATTTATATTATTTTGAGAGAAAACTTTTTGTTTTTAAGAGAGTGTTTTGTCATCCATGAAAGCTTTAATCATTTTTCTTATCTACTCTTTTGAGAGCTATTGTTGAGAGGTTGAAGAAGATTGTTCTTCTTGTTGTTCAAGGCTTATGTAATTTAAGTCTTGGTTGTGAAGTCTTGTAGAGGGTATATCTACGAGCGGTTGTGTCGAGGCTTGTGGGATTCAAGTTCTCGAGTTGTAAACGTTTTGTTAAGCACCCGTATGCTTAACGGAAGTAGTGGTAGCTTCGAGAGAGTCTCTCGGGGAACTGGACTAGCCACGAGGTGGTGAACTAGTATACATCGGTGTGTTCTTTGCCTTCTCTATTTTATTTTCGCTGCACTTACGTTTATATTTTTAATCCTGCGAAAATCGGTACACATTCTCAACAACTCTATTCACCCCCCCTCTAGAGTTGCACGCCTTGTCTAACAATTGGTATCAGAGCAGGTATCTCTAACGCTCTTTGTGACGTTTGAGAAAACGATCAATTTTTTTTGAGAATGTTGAACGTAAGGATAAGAGAAGGGCAATCCACCGTAAGGCCGCCATTTTTTGATGGAACAAATTACTCCTATTGGAAGGAGCGAATGAGGATTTTTGTTCAATCAAACGACTTCAAAATTTGGCTTGCTATCAAGAATGGAGATAGCTTGCCGATGAAGAAGATAGGCGATACACTCATCCCGTAGGACGAGGATGAATATGATGAAGCCAACTTTAAGAAGGCCCAATTAAATGCCACCGCCATCAACTTCTTGTATTGTGCTGTCAATGCCAACGATTATCAAAAGATATCTCGTTGCCAAACCGCCAACCAAATGTGGAACAAGCTCATGATCACATACGAAGGTACGCCTCAAGTTCGTGAATCAAAAATTAATTTACTAACCCATGAATATGAGTTATTTGCTATGGAAGAGAACGAACTTGTGGAGGACATGTTTGGAAGATTTTCAAACATCGTCAACGACCTTAATATGCTTGGAAAGACGCTCACTGACAAGGAGTTAGTGAGGAAAATCCTGCAAAGTCTTACCAAGGAATGGGAGTCAAAGGTTAACTCCATTTACGAAGGCCGAGATTACAACGTCATCACATACGACGGTCTTCTAGTTAACCTTATCACTTACGAAACAAATCATCTTTCTCATACTCTTGATGTTAAGAAGAGAGCGGGAATTGCTTTTAAAGCATCTTCTTCTCAAAAAGTAGAGATTGATGATTCAGATTCGAATAGTGATAGTGATAGTAGCACTTCTTGTGATATTTTGGTTGAATGTTTTAACGAGTTTATGAAACATGACCTTAATAAGAGCAAGAGGAAAAACACCCCAAGGTGTCATACGTGCGGAAAGCTTGGCCACCGTAAACTTGAGTGCCCGAAGCTCAAGAAAATGAGCAAACAAAATGAATTTGCGTATTTTTCGTGGAGTTATGATCAACCATCCGAAGATGTTTCCCTCATCGGCGTTGAAGAACAAGATGGGTGGTCGGGCACGTGAAGCACTTGAAAGGCATGCTTGAAAACTACAAAGTTTGTAGTGGATGCTCCAAGCACTTAGCCAAAGAGATTGCATCAAAGGGGAGTTATTACACTTTTTTTAAATTAAATGTTATTTTTGAGATTTATTTGTGATAATTGTTATTTGGGGAATTTATATAGGATGTTTTGCATATAGTAAGGGGGAATTTATTGCTATATGTGTTAATCTTTTGGTATGCTTTAATTTTTTTTAAGGGGAGGTAGCATACTTTAAGGGGGAAGTATTTTATTTCCTAGAAATGCATGATTCTAGGGGGAATGTGATTTTTTCTTAATTGTTTAGAATTTTTTTTCTCTCTCTGGAATGCTTGAGTTCTTTTGTTGCATTATTTTTGATAATGCCAAAAGTGGGAAGAGTATAGGAGTATATGCTTTAATTTGTTATTTGTTGGTAGCATATCCTCCATGTGTTTGTCATTATCAAAAAGGGGGAAATTGTTGGAATGCATTAGTTCAACCCTTTCTGTGTTGTTAAGTGTTGACTCACAGGTTTTGATAATTGACAAACACAATTTATTCAAGTCAAGATCAAAGTGCTACAATGACAAACACGAAGACTTGAAGTGCCATTCCTTGAAGTATTCAAAAAGGTGCACAGGATTTTATTGGAGTTCGAGACGCATTCGGAGCGCCTAACGGAGGACTCGGAGGAGTAGAAGATTTCCGAAGACTTTTTATTTATTTGAGTCGTAGAAATATTTGTAAGGATGACAAAAATATCTTCTCTCCAAAATCATTTTTATGAGAGTTAAAATAAAAATTATATTTATTTTTGGAGTCAGTTGAAAAATCTTTTTAACTGTTCAAAATAGGTTTATTGAGTCAGTCACAAAAAGTGTGCCAAACATTTATCAAATATTTATTTTGATAATATAAAATATTTTTGGTAAGCAAAAATATTTTATTCAAATACTTTTCGTGTACATCGTTTGACACACAAAATATTTTTGGGACTCAATTTCTACACCAAAATTCTTTATTTAATTCAAATTTTGAATTAGAATTAATTCTTTTCAACCCATTTGATTTGTTTGTTTTTGGGAGCCTTATCACATTCAAATTCTTGTCCAAAACAAGTCATTAAGCTCCAAAATAATCTCTCAACTCGCACACATGTTTTGGGTCCTCATGTTTGGGGTTTGTTCGCTACTGGATCGATCCTTTTGTGTGGATCGATCGTCGTGTGAGAACCCAAGGGGATTGGATCGATCTCCACATTAGATCGATCACATATTTTGGGACTTTTTCTTCGGAGGATCGATCAATCTGTTTGGATCGATCCCCCGTCACTTATTTCTTTCGTTTCCCAAATTTTTTAACTCCTTTGGATCGATCCCCCGTGCTTTTGACACAAATTTATTTTCGGAAGTTTACTACGGGTATTCGATCTTTTGCCCTGCATGGATCCCCAACGCTCCATTCTGTCAAAATCAGCCTTCCCTACTCCCAACGGATTTATTTCTTTTTACTCTATATAAACTCTCTTCCTTGGTCTTTTTTAAGAACAAGAAACATTCCAATACTCTCCGTTCTTGAGGTGTTAATCCTCCATCAATCTTTCCTCAAGTTTATATTATTTTGAGAGAAAACTTTTTGTTTTTAAGAGAGTGTTTTGTCATCCATTAGAGCTTTAATCATTTCTCTTATCTACTCTTTTGAGAGCTATTGTTGAGAGGTTGAAGAAGATTGTTCTTCTTGTTGTTCAAGGCTTATGTGATTTAAGTCTTGGTTGTGAAGTCTTGTAGAGGGTATATCTACGAGCGGTTGTGTCGAGGCTTGTGGGATTCAAGTTCTCGAGTTGTAAACGGTTTGTTAAGCACCCCTAAGCTTATTGGAAGTAGTGGTAGCTTCGAGAGAGTCTCTCGGGGAACTGGACTAGCCACGAGGTGGTGAACCAGCATACATCGGTGTGTTCTTTGCCTTCTCTATTTTATTTTCGCTGCACTTACGTTTATATTTTTAATCCTGCGAAAATCGATAAAGATTCTCAACAACTCTATTCACCCCCCCTCTAGAGTTGCACGCCTTGTCTAACAATTGGTATCGGAGCAGGTATCTCTAACGCTCTTTATGACGTTTGAGAAAACGATCAAATTTTTTTGAGAATGTTGAACGCAGGAATAAGAGAAGGGCAATCCACCGTAAGGCCACCATTTTTTGATGGAACAAATTACTCCTATTGGAAGGACCGAATGAGGATTTTTGTTCAATCAAACGACTTCAAAATTTGGCTTGCTATCAAGAATGGAGATAGCTTGCCGATGAAGAAGATAGGCGATACACTCATCCCGAAGGACGAGGATGAATATGATGAAGCCGACTTTAAGAATGCCCAATTAAATTCCACCGCCATCAACTTCTTGTATTGTGCTGTCAATGCCAACGATTATCAAAAGATATCTCGTTGCCAAACCGCCAACCAAATGTGGAACAAGCTCATGATCACATACGAAGGTACGCCTCAAGTTCGTGATACAAAAATTGATTTACTAACCCATGAATATGAGTTATTTTCTATGAAAGAGAACGAACTTGTGGAGGACATGTTTGGAAGATTTTCAAACATCGTCAACGACCTTGATATGCTTGGAAAGACGCTCACCGACAAGGAGTTAGTGAGGAAAATCCTGCGAAGTCTTACCAAGGAATGGGAGTCAAAGGTTAACTCCAT